TGCCCGGGGGCCCGATCCTGCAGAACGAGGCCGCCCTGGACGTCCTGCAGGAGAGCATCCGGCGGGTCAAGGAGGGCCCGCCCTCCCTCACCACCATCTGCGTCTACGCCTTCTACCACACGGAGCAGCTGCTGAACGCCGCCGAGATCTCCCCCGACGGCAAGCTGCTGGCCGCCGGCTTCGACAACTCCTGCATCAAACTCTGGAGCCTCCGGTCCAAGAAGTTGAAAGCGGAGCCCCACCAGGTGGACGTGTCCCGCATCCGCCTGGCCTGTGACATCCTGGAAGAGGAGGTAGGGAGGGTCCTGCTCCCTTCCCCCAACCTGCCTCACTCATCTGCTTAGAACAGTGGTCGGCAAACGGCGGTTCGCGAGCCACATGCGGCTCTTTGGCCCCTTGAGTGTGGCTCTTCCTAAGAAGTGAATAACAATGTACCTACCCATATAGTTTCAGTTCAAAAAATTTGGCTCTCAAAAGAAATTTCAATCATCGTCCTGTTGGTATTTGGCTCTGTTGACGAATGAGTTTGCCGACCACTGGGCTAGAATATTCTTTCCAGACGTGACTGATCTCACAGAGCAGGGACTTTTTGACTTACAACCCTCGTCCGATAGCAAACTCATGCCGTGTAACCTGCAGCCTTTGAGTCCTACCCAGACCTAACCTTGGAAGAGATGAAAATTATTATTATTATTTTTTTAATATAGATTTTTATTGATTGCAGAGAGGAAGGGAGAGGGGGGGAGAGAGAGAAACATCCATGATGAGAGGGAATCATGCATCGGCTGTCTCCTGCACGCCCCCCACTGGGGATCGAGCCCACAACCCGGGCATGCGCCCTGGTCGGGAATGGAACCGTGACCTCCTGGTTCACAGGTGCAACGCTCAACCACTGAGCCACACCGGCCGGGCACTCCCATAGTTAAGTTCTTATATAAACTTCCTGGAGTAGAGCAATGAGTCATTCTTGAAATGTTGAAGTGTCGTTGTAACCTCTTTGGAATGGAAAGCACTAATATTCGTGGTCACAGTAGAACCGTAAGCTCCCACATGCTAACATGTTTTTAGTCCCCGGTGCCTGTCACAGCCATTTTGGACACGGGTGGACACGCGTGTGTATTTTCCCTTCACTTTCCCTCGATCCTGTATACATTGGAGCCTTTGCTTTATTTCAGTTTAATGGTTTTTTCAAGGAGAAGTTAAAAGGAGGCCCTTTTCCTAGGCGAGAACCTAAAACTCACACATATATTTATTTATACACCCACCACGGCAATGGGTGATAGAACCTTCATCTCGCTGCCCTTCATTCTGGTAGGGTTTCATGAATACCCACCGTGATGGATGAATCCCGGGGTTGAGGCGGCTGTAGCTTTAAGGAGCCTGCCTGTGAGCGAGTGAAAGTTTTGGACACAGACTGTGTCCTGATGGGGGAGAGGCTGGGGGTGGGAGGGGAGCTTCCCCCCGGGGACCAGGGGCAGCTGTCTTCCCGGCTGTCCCCCACACAGGAAGTCTGTCCGAGAACCACAGGGGTCACTCGGCTGTAGAGTCTCCAGGCCTTGCTCCTTCGGGGAAATGTTTGCGACCTCTACAGTTGCTCCTTCGGGGAAATGTTTGTGACCCTCCGGAAAGTCACGGTTCTAAAACCGCATCTCTCTTCCCTCGTGGACACCAGCAGAGCGAGCCTGGTCACAGGGTGTGCGTGCCACTTACTGGTGATGGCGCCTTTCTGGCTTACTGTTCCGATGGGCCCGGGGTTAGTTGTGGCTACACTGCTACAGTGGTTCTGTATTCATCATGCACTGAGCCTGGCCGGCGTGGCTCAGTGGTTGAGCGTCAAGCTGTGAACCAGGAGGTCACGGTTCGGTTCCTGGTCAAGGGCACAGGCCCGGTTGCGGGCTTCATCCCCAGTGCGGGGTGTGCAGGAGGCAGCCCAGAAACTGACTTTCTGCTTGTTGGATGTTTCTATCTCTCTCTCTCTCCCCCTCCCTTCCTCTCTGAAATCAATAAAAATCTTTAAGAAAAAAAAACACAC